GNATGGAATATGTTAAATTTAAGTTAAATAACATTATGTTTGCCATAACTTTTTCTATACCTGGAGAAATAAATGGCATGGAGTTTTACATCCTTATCTTTTGCGACAATGACCAGCTGGTAGAAAGAATCCTCATTATTCAAATGGACCCAGCTGTAAATGGGTACAGATAATCCATAAAAGATCCATGCCAAGAGGTTTGGTCAAAGACCAGCTGGTAGAAAGGATCCTCATTATTCCAGTCGACCCAGCTGTAAATGGGTACAGATAATCTGGGAAAGATCAATACCAAGAGGTTTGGTCAAGGACCAGCTGGTAGAAAGGATCCTCATTATTCCAGTCAACCCAGCTGTAAATGGGTACAGATAATCTGGGAAAGATCAATACCAAGAGGTTTGGTCAAGGACCAGCTGGTAGAAAGGATCCTCATTATTCCAGTCAACCCAGCTGTAAATGGGTACAGATAATCCTGGGAAAGATCAATACCAAGAGGTTTGGTCAAAGATCAGCTGGTAGAAAGGATCCTCATTATTCCAGTCAACCCAGCTGTAAATGGGTACAGATAATCTGGGAAAGATCAATACCAAGAGGTTTGGTCAAGGACCAGCTGGTAGAAAGGAACCTCATTATTCCAGTCAACCCAGCTGTAAATGGGTACAGATAATCTAAGAAAGATCAATGCCAAGAGGTTTGACCAAGGACCAGCTGGTAGACAGGATCCTTAACTGTCTGAAATTAACTTTTCAAATTTGCACTTATAGCAATTTGCAATGGAGAAATTCTCAGAATTCTAAGAAATAGTTACCTGCTATAATTTTGGTTCCATTAGCGGCGCCAATAATGATACGTTTATTGCAGGGTTGTGCTTTATTGTAGACAATCGCAGGCGTCATGGATGACAGGGGTCTCTTTCCTGGTTCTATCAAATTATGCTGAAATTAAAAATGGTTCCAGAAAGTCCAGGGCCTGCACATTACAAGTCATTCAGTCAAATCAAATTCGACCAAACTTTCGTTCCATTTTTTTAGCATTTATTTTCAATGTAGCCACTTCAGTTAGGGTCTAACAACAACCCCCGCAGACATTCATCAAAATAACCTTTTGACCTCATCTGCTTTAACCAATCGAATTCCTTCACTCACTCAAAAAACGCAGAAGGCAGAAATTGGATTGGTTAAAGCAAGGTGAAGTCAATAGGTTAATTTGACAAATGACACGGCTGTCAATAGACCCTAACCGAAGTGGCTATATTAAAAATAAAAGCTATGACCTATGTCAGGATTGAACCCTGGACTTTCCGGTTAGCGAGCAAGCGTCTAGCTCACTGAGCCACCACGGCTCCCTTCATTTTGACAGATTTCTCGAGACATGCTTTGATTGGTTAAACTTAACGTCAAGGGAGGGGCCTTTGGTAGAATATCATAATCATGAACTTACAGGATTTTCTGGAAGTTGAAACATGGATTTCGCTGTGAAAGCCGGCACTGAAAAATCTGCCATTTCATTGTTTAAAACGATTCCTTTTTCACTCATTATCTTGGATCCAAACCAGGTATTTACGGTGCTAAAGGAAGAAAAATGAAATGGAAGAACTGAGCAGTGGATAATGAGGGAAATTTTGTAATAATGGAGGAATAAGCCTACTATTTTCTAGGGATTATTTAAAGACATTGTAAAGAGGTTTTCTAAATTTTTTATGTGTATTGGGGACACTGATAGCATCAATTTACACCATTCAAATTTTCAATCAGATGCCTGTGGTTCCTGCAATTCCACTAAAACTAAGTGTTTGATGATGTCACTTATCGCAAAGGACCTTATGTGATACAATCATATTTTGGTGACGTCATCAAACACTTAGTTTTAGTGGAATTGCAGGAACCACAGATGTCTGATTGAAAATTGGAATGGTGTAAATTGATGCTATCAGTGTCTCCGATATACATTAAAGTGACAAGAGTACTGGTCTCGTGTATCAAGGGTAAGACCTGTCAAACCGACTCATAGACCTTTGTGAACTCAAAATGGCCACATGGAAACTACCCACCTTGTAAGAGAGACGGTTAATTCTGAAGCATCTACAACAGAGAGATGGGATGTTCCACCATTAGGTGTTTGTTGAGAGTTGGCCATATAATAATCTTGAAGATGAGTTTCATTGTCGATTTTCTTTCTTAACTCATTGGCGTAGTCTTTACTGAAACCAAAATACATCAAAATTAAAAAGGGATACGGATGCCTTTTCCATTTAATAGCTCAATTCAAGCAATCAGCACTATTTTTTTTGAATGGACCATATCATCACGCCCAAGACTGTCTAGGCCAATCAGTAATAGTGTTCACAGCTCACTGTCGAAATTTGAGCCTTCAAATCCATGTGTATCCAGAATTATCCACGTTTGAAAGTTAAAAAGACGAGTCATCTTTTCTTGAGACTCTGTGATATATAGAAAAGACATCCATAGAAATAGGAAAAGAAATTCCTAGTTTGAGATATTTTTAAAGGAATTATGTAATTTTCGTATATTTCTAGTACTTCTGAAGACTATTTACATATATTCAAGACTCAAATCAACCCTCCAAAATGGCGCACCTGTGTTGAAATCATTAGCTAAATGGGGTAGCTTTTTTTGTTGATAGTGAAATTTTTTTTTCTAAAACTGAAGACATAAGATATACCTGATTAGAATTTTAGTTATATTGTCTATTTTAAACTTGTCGAAATCAGGATCACCCAAATCACCATGGTGAGCATATGCAAATTTGAAAGTCTGAAATAAAATACAAACTTTTCAAATACAAACTATTCAAATACAAACTTTTCAAATACAAACTTTTAGTACGTCTTTTATCGCCCGATCATGTAACAGAAAACAAAAAAAGAAAAGAAACAACTATATTTTACAAGGATAATAACTTAGGTTCACAAGAATCTTGTCTACCAGCTGGTCCTTGGCCAAACCTCTTGGCATTGATTTTACAAGGATAACAATTTAGGTTCACAAGGATTCTTTCTACCAGCTGGTCCTTGACCAAACCTCTTGGCATTGATTTTACAAGGATAACAATTTAGGTTCACAGTTAAGCTGGCAGTCTCTCCCCTTGCATAACTTGTGGCCTACCTCGATCATCTGGTGGTAAGTTTCTGGTTTATCTACATCCTTACTGGTCCAGTTGAATCCTTCCATGATGTTCATCATCATCAGCAACAGTGGACCGGCTGATGGTGGTGGTACAGTGGCCACAAACCCTCCTGCAAATAATATCCAGTTTTACACCCAATTTTTATATACCTAATTGAGTTAATGTGGTTCCTGAAAATCTACTAAAACTAAATGTTTGATGATGTTACTAGTCGAAAAAAATGCTTAATCACCCTTCGAGATTAGTGACGTCATCAAACACTTAGTTTTAGTGGAATTGCAGGAACCACAGACGTCTGATTGAAAATTAGAATGGTCCAAATTGATGCTATCAGTGTCCCTGATACACATAAAAATTTGAGAAAACCTCTTTACAATCCCTTTAAGATTTTTTTGGCTAAGATCTAGAGAAGTAAGTAAGGAAGGAACTCACCTTGAAATGATGTCTTAATCAGATCTCTCTCTACAACTTTATAGTTCATCATATCATCTAGAGTTATTACCCCTTGATTGTCCTTTGCCTGCAAATTAAAAAATTTTATACACCCTTA